TTAAAATAGCCAAGATGTGGAAGCAACCTAAGTGTTCACTGACAGATGAAAAGGTAAAGAAGATGGGACATTTATATAATGGGATATTACTCAGCCATAAAAAAGAATGAAATCTTGCCATTTGTGACAACATGGATGGACCTAGAGGGTATTAATCAAAGAGAAGTAAGTCAGACAGAGAGAGAAAAATGCCATATACCTTCACTTATATGTGGAATCTAAAAAACAAACAAGACAAAACAAAAATAAATAAATAAATAAATAAAATCTTTAAAAAAAAAAGACTATATCATGTTTACTGTGTGCCCGATTTGAGTTCTTACATTTACTAGTCTATGAGGGAGTTCCTATTTTTATCCTCATTTAAGAGACAAAGAAACTGAGACATAACGAGGTAATTTGTCCCTAAAGCTACTGAGTATTAGAGCTGAGATTCAAATCCAGACAGTATGGTTCCAAAAATTGTCACACACTTTTAATAATCTGCAACAACTTTTGACTAAATAATTTTTGAAAATGAAGAACTATTACAAGACGAGGGCCACATAAACATTTAATGAACTGTGCAGGAGAATTCACTGCAAACATTACTCACCACAGTGGAACTCTGACCTATCGGATGAGATTGTAGAAATACTTTAACTTCTGCTGCCAAGTTACCTAGTATTTACTCAGATCAAAGAAACAAAATTCCTCTATCCAAATCTATGAATATATATATTGTAGCACTTACTGGTCTTTAAAAGTCATCCCTGCATGTAGAAGTGTAAAAGTGAATATATCCCTACAGCCCATGTTTCTGATGCCTAACCTAATGCTTGCCAAAGCTCAGGCCCTCTACTCAGTGTATACATTTGTAGTATAATAGTTGTGCTCTCATATGCAAGTGCATAATAGGCAAATGTACAACATTTCATATAATTGCTTTGGAGTGTCATTAAAGTATACAAGCATATAAGATACTGGGCAGATAGCTACTATATCCACACATAACATTTACTTTATGTATTAATATTTATTTGATATTTAAATACTTTAATGTCTTTTAAGTTGTGGTATAGATATATAGTCACCTGAGAAATAATTAGTGATTACTACCTAAAAATCCCGTGGGGACACCTGGGTGGCTCAGTTGGTTAGGCATCTGACTCTTCATTTTGGCTCAGGTCATGATCTCTGGGTTGTGAGACTGAGTCAGGCACTGGACTATACTCAGCACAGAGTCTGCTTGAGATTCTCTCTCTCCCTCTGCTACTCCCCCTGTTCCTGCTCTCTCTAAATAAATAAATAAAATCTTTAATTAAAAAAATCACCCTGAATACTTTCATTTTCATTGAATGCAATTACAGTAGCAATCGGTGATCTAGTGTAATCAAGGGCCTAGGATAAGTTGATGTATTAAAGTTATTTATAGTAATTTCTAAGGTGTATTACAATGATTAAATTTTATGGTCTGTATAATTTTTTAAAATCAGTTAATAAAAAAGAGATCTCTTTTCCCTAATGGCTATAGCATAGGAAAATGAAAGATATTTTCTGAATTCAGGAGGAGAGTCTGGGTAATGACTGAGGCACTCATGTGAAACAAGATGAGTTGTGTATCAACAATTGCCAGATCACGTTTTTTTCCTGGATCTCCCTTCTTCCAGGTGTCCGGGGAACCAGGATGTAGATGTCATTATTAAGGAACTCCACAGAGAGAGACAATTTAAATCGTTTATCTCCATAATGCAAATCAAAGGAAAAAGAATGCTCAATGTTTAATAATATTTTTCAGCAGTTCACTGGAATGGACTTCCTCAGAATTAAAATCTCTCTTAGGTAGAGCACCACAGGGAACACTTCATGTGATTTATTAAACGTTTCTTTAATTGCTATTACGTCTGTGTATTGATTTTATTGGGTTCTTCTTTTGCATATAAGATCTAGAAATCAGGTCTGGAAACGACAACAACAAAAATCTGTAGTGAAGCAAAACCCAATTAACCACAACTAAGGAATAAATAATCCTTTTTCAACAACATGGTTCATGTTCAGTATCAATTAGACTTTTCCGCTGGTCTTTCTCCATGGACCTTGGCATCCCCTTCATTCTATTATGCTTTCCACCCAAGCTTCTAAGTTAATGAAATCAATGCTGTGCTTCTTAGTCTAGAAGTGTCTCCTCTGTCTATTCCTTCTTTCTCATTCCCCATTGCCCAGTTCTGAACTCAGTCTTCCTTCTTCCATGCTTCTAGGTTTGCTCTAGTCTTTGCCAATCCTAATCCATCCTTCTTCTCAAAGCTCAACCCTAATCTCAAAGATTAACCCTCCCTTAAATACTGTCTTCTAATTTTGCTCCTGGGCTCCAGAATGGAAATAAGTTCTCACAGCTATTTGTGGCTTACTGTATGATTCCCAAACTTTAAATTTCCTCTCTAATTAACTTGCCACCCTTGTTGCTCTTCAGCGTGTTCTGCTTTCTCCTACTTCGATCCTGCTGTCTTCATCATTTCTCCAAGAATTATCTCTTTTATCCTTTTAGCCTAACTATTCTCTATTAATCCTTTAAGATCAAATTCAGGGCTCACCTTCTCTGGAGAGCTTTCATTCATGTTTCCTTTAACTCTTTATTCCATTCAGTACTGAATTCTTTCAATATCTCAACTACACAATTTAACCCAATATAAGTAAGTCATACTGATATTGTATATATATAAATATCAGCACACATTTATAGAAATGTCTGCATCATTCATTGTCTCATGTGCATGGGCCATGTATCTGCAACTAGACTGCAAGTGTCTTCCAGGTAAATTACTTCCAGGTAAATTCTTTAAGGCATAACTGATTTTCCAGTTTGTTCCTCTTAGAACATACTCATCAATAAGTGTGTTTTGAATGATTTTGAATGATACTTTACTTCCCAATTTATGCTTGTTTCATTCTTTGTCATTTTAGATTTTAAAATTTCATTTATTTATTTAATTTATTTTTTAAAGAATTTATGTATTTATTTGTCAGAGAGAGAGAGCGCAAGCCCAAGCCAGGGGAGTGGCAGGCAGAGGGAGAAGCAGGCTCCCCGCTGAGGAAGGAGCCCAAAGCAGGGCTTCATCCCAGGCCAGATCATGACCTGAGCTGAAGGCAAATGCTTAACCCACTGAGCCACCAAGGCACCCCTACTTTTGTCATTTTTAGATTTTTTTTAGATCCATAAGGGACCACTGATAAGTTGTATTATCGTTCAATAATTATTTGCTCCCTTCTTCCCTTTATGTACATTACAGTTCCTCGCTCTATCGATTTGGGCTTGACCATGAGACTCCCTTTCATTAGTGGTTTGTGGGCTGATGTGACATATGTCACATCCATACCAGAAGTACAAGAAACACTGCAGGCTTCTGGCAGCGCTGAAGACCTGTAGGAGACCGGCAGCTTGCTGCACAACTTCGCCAAGTCACAGCTCTACGTACGTTTCACGAATGCAAAAAAGGCACGGATGCTTTGGGGTTATTTGCTACACAGAAAGGCCAACTAATATAAGACATTGGGGTTATTCTAACTTCCACTTTTGTAGATAAGCGGAGAGGCCTAGATTTTTTTGTTAGCTCATGGAAGAGTTTTAACATAAATTCTGGATGACTAACTCAGGTGTTTGTTTTTTTGTTTGTTTTTATTTTTGTTTTGTTTAACGCAAAATACCTAACTTTTTGCTATCTTAAAATTTGGAGGAATGCAGCTCAAATAGTTTGAAATTTGGGGCTTACTTTTACCTGGTACTGACCTCTTGATCTGGCATTAGCTTTTAGAAAATAGATAGAAAAATTTCTAGAAAATAAACAACATGCATTATCATTGTGAAATGAAATATACTCCTGCCTGAAAGATACTGCTCTCCCTTAGGCCCACACTTGTTTGGTAGTAGATAGAATGAAATGCAGTGATCTTTGGGAGTACCTCGCAGGCCCAAGTCTTTCATATACATTGTTCATCTAAAGTGTACATTTCAAAACCTTTTTTCTTAAAAAAACTTATATAAGAAAATTCTCATTTGAGGAGGGGTGTAATTTTTTTTTTTTTAAAGATTTTATTTATTTGTCAGAGAGAGAGCGCGAGCACAGGCAGACAGAATGGCAGGCAGAGGCAGAGGGAGTAGCGGGCTCCCCGCCGAGCAAGGAGCCCGATGTGGGACTCGATCCCAGGACGCTGGGATCATGACCTGGGCCGAAGTCAGCTGCTTAACCAACTGAGCCACCCAGGCGTCCCAGGGGTGTAATTTCTTAATAAACCATTCCCTTAATTCCATGACGAAGTCTCATATACTTTGACACTACATGAGAGACTCTAAAATTCTTTTTTTTTTTTTTTAAGATTATTTATCTATTTATTTGACAGGGAGAGAGAGATCACAAGTAGGCAGAGAGGCAGGCAGAGAGAGGTGGGAAGCAGGCTCCCTGCTGAACAGAGCCTGATGCGTGGCTTGATCTCAGGACCCTGGGATCACAACCTGAGCCGAAGGCAGAGGCTTAACCCACTGAGCCACTCAGGTGCCCCGGGACTCTAAAATTCTTATCCTTTTCCTTTGCAAAATTCAGATGGAAACATTCCTATCATTCTGTGCCTCAGTACATCAGAACTTTGACTTGGACCTGAAGTTTATTTTATGCTTTGATGTTCTTGAAATGAACTAATTTTTCTGTGATATTTAAAATTCAGAAAGTAAACGGCTAATTAAGTTCTAAAGAAATTATTAACATACTACTTCCTTTTGTATATCAATTTTTAAAAAGTAAAACCAGTTTATGTAGCACTATTTTTCCCTTTTTATGGAAAAACAATATTTCAGTACATGCGTTAGGAATTGAATGTCTTACTAAATAACATTTATAATCTTTTATTGTTTTTTACTATGCTTTTCTAAACAAAGAAAATAAAATATAATAAAAACTACACACATAACTAAGGGATTTTCTTTTTCTGTTTTTTTGTCTCTCCTTATTTGGAGCACACACGAATCTTACCTTTGTGAAAAAACATCCCTGTAAGGACTGCCATGTTGTAGTGCGATTCCATATCCTCGATCAGCAACCGTGTTCCCGATGGTGTAAAATGAGCAATCTGGGTCATTGATAGCCACATATTCCAACACGGCTGCATCCCACACAAAAGCATAATTTCCATATTTTACCTGTGAAAATATGGAGAACAAAAGAAGAAAATAGGATTTAAGTTTGGAATTTTAAGTTATACAGTTAGGGTAAGACATATTACAATTGTGTATATTTAATTGGATAAAAGGTCATAGGACTTATCTTTTTAAATACCTATTTTTTGAGAATTTGGCATTTGGTTAATTTATAGCTCTGTTCTGGAAATGTGATAAAGTTAGAATGTTAAATATGTTTCCAGGCAACATAGTCTATAGTAAAATGACCCTTGAGTGGTAAATGTCACCTGGACTGGGAAAACAATAAATGTATGGAAAAAAGCCATGTCTTTGAGCTTCTCTGAGTGTAGTCATTCCTGTAATTGGTCTTTGGGGACCTGGAAGTAAAGCTTTTTTTTTTTTTTTCCCCTCTTAAGATTTTATCCACTTATTTGACAGAAAGAGAGATCACAAGTAGGCAGAGAGGCAGGGGGAGAGAGAGGAGGAAGCAGCCTCCTTGCTGAGCAGAGAGCTCAATGTGGGGCTCCATCCCAGGACCCTGAGATCATGACCTGAGGTGAAGGCAGAGGCTTAACCCACTGAGCTACCCAGGTGTCCCTCACTTTTGAAGTTGTTACAAGAGATACTGTCTCCTTTAGGTTACTAGGCTTCTAAGCTAGGTAGGCTTCTGTACCCACCCAATATAGGTATGATCTCCTTGAATGTGACCTATGTTCCAAATGAATGCTGCAAGTCAAAGACACACTGAAGAAAAATAATCAACACTACCCTGTTGGCAAGATACATTTCCTAACTTCTGTTATTCTGGGGTAATCTGTTGCCAAGTGCGGTCTATGGCAATTTTGAATATTTTGCCCACCTTTTGGTAGGCATTGCAATGAAGAACAAATAATTATACAATCTTCTCTATCATTATTTAGGGAACATAACTTTATTCTGAGTTGTTTACCTTTTAATGATTGTCTTTTATTTGTAAGTGTGACTTCTTCCCCTAAACTACAAATGTATCAAAAATAAAAAGCAATTTTAATAAAATTAATTAAAAAATATTATATAGGGGAGCCAGGTGGCTCAGTTGGTTGAGTGCCCAATTCTTGGTTTCAGCTCAGGTGGTGAGCTCATGGGTCATGAGTTCAGGGCTACATAGTGCTCCCTGATCATCGGGAAGTCTGCTTGGGGATTTTCTCCCTCTATACCTCCACCCCCGACTCCAGTGCACACATTCTCTTTTCCCTTTCTCTCAGATAAATAGATCTTTAAAAAATATTATCTATAAATATAGAATTTAATGAGTTCATAAAAATAAATAGAACTAAAATTAAATCAAATATCCCGTTTGTTGGCTAGTTTGTTTATTTATTTGAGGAGAAAGAAATTTCCTGGTAAATCTGATGAGGGGAAAGAGAAAAATTTCTTTTCAGAGAGTTCATTGTTTGTTATAGCAATGCTACTGATTTTTGTATGCTGATTTTGTATTCTGCAACTTAACTGAGTTTACTTATTAGTTCTAGAAGGGTGTGTTTTTTTTGTTTGTTTGTTTAGTCTTTAAGATTTTCTGCATATATGATCTTATCATCTGCAAAGAGAGATAATTTGATTTCTTCCTTTCTGATTTGGATATTTTTATTTTTTTTTCCTTCCTAATTGCTCTGTCTGGGACTTCTGGTACTATGTTGAATGGAAGTGGTAAGAATGGGCATAATTCTTTTGTACCTTTATAGCATCGGAATCAAGTCCTCAGGGGATAGGCTGCTTTCAGCAGGAATGTAGACAGGACAACCGATGGTTGACCAAGCACTGAGATATAGCCTGCTCTTAAAAGCATTCTTTTTTAAATTTTTATTTATTTTTTTTTAAGAGAGAGAGAGAGAGAAAGGGGGAAGGAGGAGTAGAATGAGAGGGAGAGAGAGACTCTTAAGCAGGTTCAATGCCCAGTATGGAGCCCGATGTGGGGCTTGATTTCAAGACCCTGAGATCATGACCTGTGTTGAAATCAGCAGTTGGATGCTTAAGTGACTGAGCCACCCAGATGCGCCTCTTGAAAACACTCTTATTCAGTCTTAGATTCTGCCTGGATTTCACAACTAGGATTCCGAAGTTCTCACAAAGGTATTTTGTTCATGGATGGCTGTCAAATTGTTGTTCTGTGAGAGGACCCCCTAGTCCCTCATGCTGCTGATACTACTTCCTCTATCTGTAATCATATGTAAAATTTTTATCAACATGTATGCCTCATGTATACATGGGAGATACCCTGGGGAAAATGAGTAATTCAAAGAAGTGGCTTTAGAAATCAGGATTAAAAGCCATCTAGTTTGGAAAGTTAAGGGATGAGGGAAGTAGGCTTAGGGGAGAGTAAATCATATTTATGAAAGATGAATGGCCTTTGGTAGAATACATGGGAGTTGTGGTATTTTGTGACAAAGTTTGTCTGGATGTGTGCCTCACTTCTAGTCTCTTCTCCTGGGATGAGGGTCATTCCTTGTTGATGAAACTCCCAGGGAGGGGATTTACGACACTTGAGTTCCTTTTAGAGGATTTATGTTTAGGTCAATAAGGGTTATTTAGAGAAAGCTTCTCCCTGCATTTGCTGTTTTTCAAGTGCTTCCAGCTCAAAATCATCAATATACCAAAGTAGCATATTTTGGGGTGGCATATTCTGTTACCCTTAATCACTAACTTTCATATTTGCTTTTAGCCTCTTGGTTCTAAATCTATAGTAATGGAGAGATAGCAGTGACCCTGAAGCTTCCTCTAAAAACCTACTTTGGTTTTTGCTATTCTCTTCTTTCAAACAGCCACTCTGGACTTCTGGATCCCCTTGGACTTCTATAGCCCTCAAGGGACCTTCCCAGTTGGGGACATATTGCTTTGCTGTTAGCAAAGTGTTCTAGCATTGCTGTTACTGCTTTGTGAACTGTAAAGCTCTATTTAAATGTATATTAACATCATCATTGCCATTATATACATGTTTCTAATAATTCTAATGTTACAAAGCATTATGAATTCATTTTTAAAAGGAGAACCATTAAAATAGTATGATTATAGCCTGTAGCAATATCAATGAAATGTTGCATAATAACCCAAACTATTTTAGCTTTTAAAAATATCCCTGTTTTTTTTTTCCCCCAACAATTAAAATATACAATCATTGTCTTTTGGATAGTTTTTAACTATTAGATTAAAACTATCTAGAAAATACTTATCAATAAAACCCAACATCACTTTCCAGCAGAATAACAATTGAAGGTTTGAAATTTTCAATCCATCTGACTAGGTGAGGGATATTATTTAAAAATTGCAACTTGTCTTTGCTCTTGAAGTCATGTTTGGATAAGGAGCTACATTGTGGGGGCGCCTGGGTGGCTCAGTGGGTTAAGCCTCTGCCTTCGGCTCAGGTCATGATCCCAGGGTCCTGGGATCAAGCCCCACATCGGGCTCTCTGCTCAGCAGGGAGCCTGCTTCCTCCTCTCTCTCTACCTGCCTCTCTGCCTACTTGTGATCTCTGTCTGTCAAATAAATAAATAAAATATTAAAAAAAAAAGGAGCTACATTGTGGGCCATTTACTTATTAACAGTGGATTCCATGCCAACTGAGTGCTTCTAGCATGTTAAACAGAGGGCAAAAGTACACCGGAAGCTTTATGTCATCATATTCCAGGCCCTTTTTATAAGAAAGGCAAAGAATTCCAAAATGGCATCTACCTCCAATATTATCAATGTCTAGTTCCTAAAATAGAGATACCAGAATGCTGTGGTGATTAATGGATGATGGTAGCTGCTAATGCTTGACACCTGTGTCCTTATAATAGAGCTGAGATGCCAGTAGCCTTGATGGATTTCTCATTGCTGAGATAACTCAAGACTTTGTTTCATTTCCACAATATAATTACAGGAATCTTTCTTTGAATTCCATTTTCCTCGCAATCATTATGCATTAATCTGAAGATCCTAAAGAGATCTGTAAGGAACATAAAGGTAAGACTTGGGTTTCTTCCCTCAAGCTGCTTACAACTCAGTAGTGTAGGTAAGTCAAGTTCTACTTGCTATAACATAAAACACATTATGGTAAGTACCATCCAAAAAGCTTAAAATGTTAAAGTGGTTTAAAGAAAGGGAAACTTAATTTTCATTGGAGGAATCAGGACAGCCTGCTTGAATGTTTTGATAAATGAAATAGTTGCACAAGAAAACCCCAAATACTTACATTCCTTATCTCTAGTGCTTGATTAAACACAGATACTCTTTGGAAACCTTTTTTTTTTTTTTTTTTGTTCATGCACACTCTTTTAAACTTCTAGTTTTCTGCAATTTTCCATCAGGTGAATAGCTATAAACATTCAATATTATTTTCTTAAATATTTTCATTTCTTGCCAAGTAAGTGAAGGATGGGAAAATGAATTTTCAAAACCTGCACCTGTGCTCCTCACCATGTTATGGATTACATCATATTTCCTTTCCTTTGTGGAATCCTCTTGTCCTGAATACCCCTGTTCTGACACCTCTATCATAACCTAATGCTAAAAGTATTTTTCTTTTCAATTCATTAGGTAAGCATCTTCTGAGAAAATTGCAGAAGCCTACACCACAGACAAAAAGACTTTCATTACCTGTTATCCCAAGGACTTTGGTTTTAATTGAGAAGCCACATTCTTTCTCACACAAATCTTTAATTTAGCAAATTCCTTAAAAGCTCACTTCAAAATCTACAGCAGCAGAGATATATCAATGATAATCCTTTTTTTACTAAAAAAAAAAAATCAGTGGGACAATTATAGAAAGATGACATTTAAACAGAAGGGTAAGATGAGATATCCCTTCACTGAAGAAAGTCTATCCTGCCTCTGTCCTCCATTTCTTCCTCATGATAATAGCTAACATTTATAAAGCATTTTTTCCATTCTTAAAAAAATGCCCTTTACACATAAATTTATTTGCTCTTTACAACACTGTGGGGCAGCTGATATTTTGATGCCTAACTCACAGATATGGTAATAGAATCTGTTCTAAGTCATACCAA